GGCCTAGACCCTATGCGCCCGCCTGTCGTAAGGCTTACGGAACAATCTGCAGCCGGTGACAGACGCTGTTTGAAGGCACGCCTGCGGGACCCTAAAATCATGGATACTGTGCGAACCTATCTGTCTTTGCTGCATAACTAACCGCCTTCAGTATGTGTCCGCTGAATAACGAAAACAAGTTCAACTTTAATGCTAGCAGCCGAAAGATTACCAACGGACACACAACTTTTGCGCGAAATTTCCCTGGACGTCCACGAAGAACTGGAATCACACCGTGCGTTCTTATCTAGTGAACGCACACAACGACTGCAGCACACACGGGAAGCCGCATATAAATTCTACAGCACCCAAAATTTTCATCGACATTGACGCACACTTCGGAAGGAACCTTTTCATCAAACGACAACACTCTTCGGACACTTTCAGAAGAAAATAGAAATTTAAGTGTAAATAATAATAATAATGAAAATATTTTATCAACCGACGTACTTCCAACAATTTCTTCACATAAACAGAATGCGACTGAAATTTTGATTTACTGTCAAAATTTCAATCGCATGAAAAGCCCAGCTAAAATGAAGGAAATCTATGAAAATTTATTATGCTCATCCTTCTCGGTTATTCTGGCAACTGAAACAAGCTGGGACGACAGAAATTTTCATGCAACTCAGAAGAAGTCTAGCGGTGGAGTCCTTATAGCTCTTTCGACCAATTTTAACTCAGAACTCATCTTTACACCAAAATTTACAGAATTTGAGCATATTTGGGTGAAATCACACATAGCCGGTGAAACGCACGTGTTCGCCTCAGTGAATTTTCCACCAGACCATGCTCATAAAAGCACTTATGAAGCCTTCTTCCAAAGTGCTGAACAAATTCTATCTGAGCTTCCTCCTGAGGTTAAAGTTCACATCTATGGAGACTTTAATCAACGCCATGCTGACTTCATTCTGGACTCTGAAAATGAATGTATCTTACTCCCAGTCGTTGGGGATAATGAAACATTGCAGTTAATTTTTGACAAAACTGCTAATTTAGGACCACATCAAAAACCAACAAAATTGCTATTTGGACTTTTTACTAACGAATATTTATGAAGATTTCTGTGTGACCGAATCATTAAATCCACTGTAAAAAAATGAAGCGTTTCACACAGCAATTGAATATTCTTTATTTGTGCATGAAAACGAAAGACCCAACGACTGCGAATACGAAGAAGTATTTGAATACAAATTAGCAGACTACGAAAAAAATAAAATTTAAATTAAACAGTGTCAATTGGCAATTATTTTTAAGGAATGTAGGAAATGTCGAAATTGGTATAGACGTGCTCTACAAAATTTTACCAGAAATAATTTCGGAAGAAATTCCTTTGAAGAAAAAAAGACGCAACAGAAACACACAAAATCCAGTCTGGTATAACATTCAAACAAAAAACTTGAAAAGTTGGAAGCAAAAAGCACATAAAATTTATAAAAAACACAATAGTAGTAATAATTTATTAATTTATTTGGATATATGCGATCAACTGAATTTAGCTATCAGTACTGCATTTGAAGAATAAAATGCAAAAACAGAACATGAAATAAAGTCCTGTCCAAAGAACTTCTTTAATTACGTAAAAACCAAATTAAAATCTGACAATTTTCTTTCAATAATGCATCTCGACGAAAATGTCGGTGATAGCTCGGAAAAAAACTGCCAATTTTGTCCAAAGTTGACGAAATAAACAAATAAATTTAAGAAAACAAAACTGTATTCGAATATGTACTAGTATACGTTGGTTGACGAAATAAATAAATAAATAAACTCCTCAAATAACAACTCTGGTGCTCTGCAGAGACGTTGATAGAGAAACGCAAAGAAAATTTCTGTCAAAACAGCAGCACGGTTTTTAAGGGATGTTTTGGCAATGTCACTGGCAACCATATTTCTTCGAGTAGCTTCAAATGACTTTCATACAGTGCCGCAATGCTGTTGAGAAAATTTGAACGTTCGACCGGAACTGAATAAAAATTATGTGTGCGCCAACATTTTGCAAAAATAAAGCGAAGACGCTCCATACCAGTATAACTTTCGTCATATTTTACTATTTTGATTGCAGTGCAATCATTTTTATTACCTTAAAACTAAATAAAACGTTCCGATTCGAAATCGATTTTTATCACCAATAAATTTTGTGTTTAATTGAATCAACAATAAATAAATAAATAAATAACAGATAGGGTAAAGAACTACTTTGGCCTAATCGCTCATTTTGGGCCTATCGAGCAGAAAACTTCAAATAAATCCATAATTTCAGAGTCAACAAGTCAATTATGCGTTCGATACGATACTTTAGTTAGTAATCTACCTAACGAAGTCAATGAGAACGCGTGATATGAAGGTTTGCACCCATTATTCCCAAAAACAAAAGAAGCGCTCCGATCGAATCAATTTTTATCTTCATCCGATAGGCCGAAGTGAATTCATTGGCGTTTCAATGCGTTAGGCCGAGTTTAGAATCCGAAGCCCGAGTTTGGCGTCAAGAAGCAGTGTTAGAAATGGCAATATCGCAACGATTGGTTTCTCTTTATCAAATCTTACGGTACGTACGGAAAGGTAAATAAATTTGGAAGCAATCAGTAATAATAACACTCCGGTTGGTGCTAAACTGCGCTAGATTAAGAAATACTAAGTGCGGGTTGTGCTTAATAGGCCGAAAATGGGGTAGTTTACCCTATCAAATATTTCTTTAACAAAATTAAACACTTGTTTCATCAATGAGAACAATATTGTGTGTGGCAGGATAATTTCTCAAAATGGGATTATATCATCTGTTTTCTGTTTATGGCCGTACGCCTGCGCCCATTGATTTAACACACGGTGGCTTTTTATCCAGGATTTGCTCCTCACGCTGCCATAAAATAATATCAAAGAAGCTACACACCTGTGTATAATCCTTATGGGCGGGGTTGTACCATAGAGGTAATTCTAAGACCACAAGGTCCCGAAGAAACGTGCTCAACTTTTTGGATCAGCTCTGGTACTCTCTTCGGTCCCAAGCTAATCGATTCACCCCTCGAAACATAGGAAAATCCACTAACCCCTCATTTTATCTGTCAAGCTTTCACAGCGAATCAAAACAAACATAGTGTAGTACTAGAATTTCGACTAGAATGGGGTACGTTGATCGTTTGCTTGGGACCAATAGGCTAGTCAAGTAGTGAGCCAATTTAAAATCGTTAGTTTCGTATTGATTGTTGGTTGTACCGCGCTTATGAGCGGCGCGCTTCGACCGTCACCAAATGAGAATTTAATATAAGCGCGACAAGCGACAATACTCTTTTCTGGTGAACTGAGTGAACAGCAATGTTTATTTACTTTGCTCGTTTGTTTCTTCTCGCTTCAGTCTATGCGTGTCTTTATTCAACGTCTCTGGTGCTCTGCAGAGTCGATGTTATAATAAGAGTCCCGCCAAGAGTGAAGCCAAAAGTACCAATCGAACTGTTAAGCGGGGTACCAAACAAGCAAAGTAAATAAACATTATTGTTCCCACAGTCAGTGAACTACAAGTATTGCAGTAATTTTAGATGAAAAACATTTCTTCGCTTAGTACATTGTGGTATTTATAAGTTATACCAAGCACTTGTTTGAACATTTTTCAAGTTCTATAATCATTTTTGTCTCCCAGATGCTCCGTTATCGACATGAAATTTTTCACTTCTCAATGAAAGTCATCCGATGCTAACGCAAAAAATCTGGTTGCCGTTTACTCTGACGAAAAATAAATCTCAAACAGTGCTGCTTGTTCGCAACATTTTCTCTTAGCGGGACTCTTATTATAACATCGACTCTGGTGCTCTGGTGCTAATTTGACAGCTCCTCCTTTTCCTCTATGATTAAGCTTCAACCCAGTGGCAGGCGCGTAGGCAACATGTTATATCGTGACAGCAGGCCCAGCACAGCAAAATAAATGATTTGAGCCCGGGACATGCTGCATACTGTCAAACGCTGCTGTTGGTATAGGCCTTGTCACTGGTCTGTTAAGCTTGGTACATATCGCGCCGGGTTGCGACAAATAGATAGAGTTTTCTAGATAACGTTATAGGAAAGCCTGGTTCACGCAAATTGTGCTCAACAATTTGAAAACAACTAAATTATTTTTTAATTGTCCATTGCGGGAAAGTAAGATTGGTTTTGAAGGCATTACATTTGTTGCCATCTTGTCGCATTTAATGTTACATTGTTGGAGCTTAAATATGTTATGGATCACCAGTGCTGCTGATGTTTTCGGCAGTTTCAAGAACTGGGTCGCATTGCAGGCGGTTGCTACTATGTCATACTGCAGAATACAGAGTTGCCCACAAAACAGCTGCGTGATCATGCCTTAAGATTATCAATCTCTTAAACAATTAATAACTAATTTAATTTGACGTTTGGCTGAAAACAATATTCTGCAAAGTTGTAGCTGAATTTCGCATAAGAATAGCTATAGAGCTTTTTAACAGTGCAATATGAGAAATAGTTAGAAAAATATGAACAAAAAGTTTCGTTTTCCCATAGTAATTTCCATATACACTTCAAATGGTTTATGCCACGTCAGTTTCTTACCTAAAGAGTTTAAATTTTGGGAGGCTAATCAAAACCTGACTTGGAACCGTTTAAGCACTGTGGAGCGAAAATTTCAAATTTTGCATCAGTCTCATGTACACGTATATCGTTGTTCGATGAAATTTAAATTTACCTAAATTGAACTTTCTATGTTATGTAAAAACAGAGATGCATGTAAAATTCAATGCAAATATATGGATTACTAAATACTTTCACGGAAAATTTAAGTTGTATTTGTGTATGTGTCAACTAAGGCCAACAAATAAATCAATGTTCCAAATGTAAATTTACAAAATTTTTGCTGTGTGTATACGAATTTCAAATTCATCAAGTTCTTCCATACCCATCGGCATGCCAACAAATGACATAACATCATAGCCGGTTATCATTAAAAAATCATCACTCACCTGAACCTCGTGGGAAACAGTTTCGTCAGCTCGATGGCCGCTTCGTAATCCAGCTGCATATCGTTACACACGGTTGGCGGGTGATCACAGTCGGGCCGACCGGGACACCACACCCTGTGCTTGCGGGATTGCAGAGACCCCCGAGGATCCCGAATCAGCAAGATGACGCGCACATTTAGGCTGTTGTGGGGGAGAAAAACAAAACAAAGTGAAACATTAGCACATCACCCTTTGGTTAGAGTCATTTACGGTAATGAGCTCGCTCGTTTTACACCGAAAGCTTTATTATAACAGGTAGGTATGACCGCGACTGGTGCTAATTTGCGTGTAGTTGGTAGCGGAAAGTTCCGAAATTTATAGCTTATAGCTCGATACATTCACGTGGCTGATAATACATCACTTGCTGGTCACTGAAAATGGCGAAACAATGGGCCAGCTGTCCCTTCCACCAATAATGCGATAACGGACGGGGCAGCGTGGAATGGAAGATAATCATCTAATTGGTCATTAGACTGTGCTTTTCGTTCGGTCTCCTCTACTAGCGAAGTGTCATATGTATAGGTATGTATGTAGGTAAATAAATCGTTTAGATCTAATGTTTCCTGTCCCACATTTCAAATTAATCACATTATTACGATCTACGGGTGAGAACAATAATGCGATTACATGTCGTTCCAATATCCGATGGACATTCGACGAGCTCCGGTGGGTGGTGGTCAGCGGATTCCCGGGCTAGATGTCGTAATATGATACACGAGTGGCGATGTTTCACAAGCCGCTTCTTTCCCGGGAGTGTTGTGGCACATCCAACTAATGCCTCTAATGACAGACCATTTTGTAGGTAGATGGAAAAATCTCTAATTTGATTGGAATGGAATTTCCCGCATTATGCTCCATCATGCGTGTGTGCGAAGTGAAGTTTGTAAGACTGATGATGGGCGAGAGGCAGTTAGATTGAATATTCTAGATGAGCCATCAATGCATGATGACACCACACTGTACGTCATTAGCACTTAGTAGCCAGAGTTTGTAGAAATACTGAATCATTTCGATTATGATTGCACCAGCAAAGTTGCAGCTGGGTTCTGAAGGCTGAAGGTTAAAAGAGTGATTTGGATTGGCTAGCACATGCATTTGAAACTGTAGCACAAGGGAATTGATCGATCCGAAGCAAAAGTGGATGGATTGATGCTGCAATCATGATTGAAATAATTCTATTCAATTGATTGTGGTATATGGGAGGCATTCAAGTCGGAGTTATACGTGAAAGCCATTGATTTAACTGGCTATGTTCTTGAATTCAATTAAGATTGATTGTGTAAAGTGCCTTCACATCAACCTAGATGGGACTCATGCAAATTGATACCAAAATTCCATAGATTTACGGAGTTGATATTTTTACGGATCTACAGACAATATAATGTAAATCCATTTAATAATGGGATAATGTTCTTATAACTATTTTAAAATCATTAAGTTTAATAAAATTTCAAAATGAACCCCATAAAAACAGGCAGATGTACCCACACTTGAGTTGAAATGCTCAATTAAAAATGAGGAGGTACGATAAATATGTAAAATAGCACCAGTAAATTTAAAAATATTCTCTTATTTTAAGAAAAATTATTAATCAGAATGATAAAATGTTCCATAAATTTTTTTTCAAATGTTCCCTAGAAAATACTGAACATAACGAAAAGAAAAGAAAATACTGAACAATACTGAACGGATCATAAAAAAAATTAAAAATGTTCCATAAAAACCAGCGATTTAAAAAAAAAATCGAAAAAATGAGGCTTACGGGAATTTTGGCTGAAATTAGCTAACAGTGTAATGTTTACGTCGGCAGCGTTTCATCACAATCGTTCAAGTGGTTACAGTGATGGCGTCGGGACAAGAACAGAAGCGCAAACAAATTGTGTGCACTCACTTCTAAAATCCAAGCGCGTTACAAAGATGGATTCAAATAAAAAAAACAAATTGGCCAAAAATTCTGTGCCAACATTTTAAAGGGGCGTAATTGCATTTGTAAACAATGACTTTAGCCGTCGATTTCTCGCGAATAAAAGCTCACTCATGAAAAATAATTACACCAGCAGGTAGAGAAATGTTTCCTCTACCAGTTAACATTGTTATTTTGGAGAGGTAAGATTTCATTCGCGAGAAATTGATGGCTAAAGTCATTGTTTACAAAAGCAATTACGCCCCTTTGAAATGTTGGCACTGAATTATTTATCTGGTAGGCGATTTGTGGATGTGGTAAAATGAGTATGTCTTTCACGAGGATGAATACCTCCAGATGCGCCTCTGCCTTTCCTGAAGTCCCACGGAATCCAGATGCTGTTTTGGCCGGATTTGGCATCTTGCCTTTACACCCGACCAGTTTAAGACTGGTCCTAAAGAACTAAAGAGGTCAACGCTCCGAACACGCCGGAACTTCGCCCAATCTAGAAATATTGGGCTATCATGAGGGCAAAACTTTGCAAAACCCCCAAGGTGTTGGAAAATGAACTGGATTTGAAGAAAGAGTGGTTTGGGGAACCTTTCATTACTTTTTTATGGGACATTTTATCTTTTTTATTGATCATTTCTCTTGATTCGTGGAATATTTTAAATATTAGTGGTGTAATTAATCAAATATTATAAATTAACAAAATGACTCACTCTTCTATTATCGCCAAGACCCGACACTAGCGGCACTAGTGACACGAAAGGTGACTAGTACCAACCGGTGGAAACTAACGATTTTAAATTGGCTCACACTGGACAAACCTATCGGTCCCAAGTACATCGATGAACGTACCATAGAGGTAACTCTAAGACTAGAAGGTCCCGAAATAACGTGCTCAACTTTTTGGCTCAGCTATGGTACTCCCTTCGGTCCCAAGCTAATGATTCACCCCTCGAAACATAGGAAAAACCAATAACCCCTCATTTTATCTGTCAAACTTTCATAGCGAATCAAAACAAACATTGCGTAGTACTAGAATTTCGACTAGAATAGGGTACGTTAATCGTTTGCTTGGGACCAATAGGCTACTAAAGTGGTGAGCCAATTTAAAATCGTTAGTTTCGTATTGATTGTTGAGCGTACCCCATTATAGTAGAAATTCTAGTACTACACTATGTTTGTTTTGATACGCTATGAAAGTTTGACAGATAAAATGAGGGGTTCGTGGATTTTCCTATGTTTCGACGGGGGCATTGATTAGCTTGGGACCGAACAGAGTACCAGAGCTGAGCCAAAAAGTTGAGCACGTTTCTTCGAGACCTTCTGGTCTTAGAGTTACCTCGATGATATTACCATAGAGGTACCAACTTTTTGGCTCAGCTCTGGTACTATCTTCGGTCCCAAGCTAATCAATGCACCCCTCGAAACATAAGAAAATCCATGAACCCCTGATTTCATCTGTCGAACTTTCATAGCGAATCAAAACAAACATAATGTAGTACTAGAATTTCGAATAGAATGGGGTACCCTTATATATGTGCTTGGGACCAATAGGCTAGTCAAGTAGTGAGCCAATTTAAAATCGTTAGTTTCCACCGGTTGATATTACTGTTGTGTGTTTTCAGAAATATATGGGAATACGGGAAGTGAACCATATTGTTTATTTATAATATTTGAATTTGCTTATTCATGGTGCCTTCACAATTTTTTATTGAGCATTTCAACTTAAATATTGGCACATCTGCCTATTTTTATGGGTCTATTATTGATTTTTTGTGGTTTATTGTTTCTATTGGTGCAAAATATGGACTGCCATTTTACAATAATTTGTGGAATTGAACATTAGTCTTTCATTATTTGGAATTTAAGTTCAAAGCGGGAACGATCTTTAATTTATTAAACCATACCATTTTTTGTCCAGAAAAGAGACAAGTTTTAGTATCCCTTGCAGCGAATCCAAACACATGAAGCAACCAACGATACAGACAAAACGGTTGCTACGACTACCATGACAAACTCGCTCTGCAACATTGCTCGATCGGAGTGGTAGAAGGATAATGATATATAGCTTGCCTGCTTTGTTGCAACATACACGAATGAGAATATTCTTCGCTGCATACAGTATAAATATTTACGTGTTAAATTTAAATATTCCCTCATTTCACATCCGTTGAACCATTCTGAACGGCCATCCCGTTGTGGTTATATCACATAATTGCACAATGTATATATCTATATCTTTTACAGTACCATGGAGTCAACAAAGTAAAAGTGAAAAATGAACTGCTAAATTGAGCACATGCGATACGACAATGGAGCGATGCTCGTTAAGAAAATACCCGGATACATTGTCTATTTTACGCACTGGTGTTTCGGTTTTATAAGATTCAACTAGGAACTCAAGATCATCATACAAAGATAATGGACGTCGAAATGTCGTAGAACACATCAGAAATAACATGGGAGACTAGTACACAGTTCGAAAAAATACTGTAAACTTCTGTTCAATACGATGCACATTAATGGAGTATCACATATTATATAAGTTTACATTATAAATCGTGTAATGTACTGAGACATTTCATGCAATGATGCAATTATTGTATACAAATGCCCATCTTTGTAAACAACATTGCTTACAAGTTGCTCGTTTGCGTGAAATGAAATACAAGTTCACGTGAATGTATCTTTACATCACTATTAAAATTCAGATTTTTTGATGTGTAGCGACTAGCAATGATGCAGAGGAGTGTGGCATACGTGCGCATTTCATCGATACGTCAAATGACGGTGCGATGTTAATGGCCTGTACTAATTTGACAACACTGATGCCAGGATAAATATGTCAGAAATATACAGAACCAGTTCAGTTGACTCTGGAAGTCTAAACGAATAACAAGTCTATTTTAAACTCCGTTAGCATCCGAAAAAGTTTGCCTAGTGAAATCAATCCTCCTAGTGGAAACTTTCTTCGATCCACCCAGTGAAATCGGTATACTCTCGGTCCGCCCAGTGATTGCCGTCCGGTGAAGCAAGAAAATTGGACAGAAAGGTGAAGAAACAATGCTGGGATTGGAAGGAACTATCAGGGCAGGGAAACGATTTGGATCGGGAGAGTGAAGATGTCAACTCCCTGTTGCTAACATTTCGTGGATAAAGGGCGAGCTCTTCTCCCCATTCATCGGGGCATCTTCCTGTTGGATGACTCGTTTTCTGACCAATTGAGTAA